ATTTGAGTGGCAAGGTCAATAGGGGATGGATCGCTGGTCAAAGCCGCATGTTGCCGTCATCCCCTTTGCCAGTGACTAGTCTGTTAAGTTTCCCTCCTAAGGGAATGACGGGTGCTGAATCAGCAGAAAACCAGTTCCATTTCCTGCAGAGGCATGAGACCTTGGGGACAGCTGGGCGGCTCACTCATTCAGAGTAAAGAGAGGAAACGCCCTCGCAGGGGCCCTGGTCATGCCAGGCGTCAGTCACTGTCAGAAGCCATCGGTTCTGTCAAAGGAGACTGGAGCCATGCGGACATACCTTGCATATGTTCCATAGCATTCCAGAGTTTTAGTTTCTTCAATCAGTGTTTGTTGAACTCTTATTGTGTGCCAGGTACTTTTTCAGTGTTGAAGATGTGAGGGCAAACTAGACAGACGGGGTCCCTGCCCTCAAGGGGCTCACATCCCAGTGGGGAGAGAGACAATGAGGAGACAAATACAGCAATTACATATCACCCAAGCGCCAAGACGGAAATGAACATGGTGCTGAGATGGCAAGTAACGGGGGACCCAATTAGCCCGGATGGTCAGGGGAAGCCTCTCTGAGGAGGCAGTATTCTGAGCTGAGACATGAAGAATTAGGGGAGGAGCATTCCAGGTGGTGGAAACGGCAAGTGCAAAGGCCCTGAGGCAGGAAACGTCTTGGCTTTGTCTGACAATAACAGAAGACCATGTGTCTGGAGGGCCATGAGTGAGGCAGGTAGTAAAAGGAGATGAGGCTGGAGGGGTGGGCAGGGACCTCAGGGGCCAGTGGCAGGAGGCTGACTTTTAATAAGTGCATCTGGAACCCACCTGTGGGTCTTTAGCAGGAGAGCAACACAGGGTGCTTCCCCTGCAGGGGCAGTGGGGAGACTGGCCAGGAGGGGGCAGAGTGGAAGTGGGGGGCTGGCTGGGAGCTGCCCAGGTATTCAGGTGAAAGATTCAGGAAGTGGAGGTGGTTCAGAGCAGACACAGCAGAAATGCATATTGTGGGAGGAATAGACAGGCCTTGAGGATGGACTGGAGGTAGGGGTGGGTGAGAGAGGAACCCAGGGTCCTGGCCTGAGCAGCCTGTCGTCACTCACAGTGGCTTCCCTTCCGGCCTGTGCCATACATACCTGCTGTGCTTTGGGGACTCAGGTCTGACTCTTTGGGGCTCCATTATGAGAGGTTAAAGCCCAGAAAAGCGGAACAAGAGGCCAGACAGGGGAACTGGATTGCCCACTTCATGCCTTGAAGTGCTTAGTTAGTGGCTTCTCAGTCTCAGTTGGGTAACCTGAGCTCCTTGAGTTTAGTCTTGGCAACTGACCCGTTTCCCAAATCCTCCAAGATGATGTCTGGTGTGTAGGGAGGGGTTAGGACTTTTGGGAATAAGAAAGTGGGCCTCGCAGGCCTCCATGGTCAGGGGTGGGGTTCACTTGAGCTCTGCTCTGTGGCTTCCAACCTGGAGGGAGGGTCCTCCAGGCTGAAGGGGCGGTGGGACACTGAGGTTCCTCACTTAGATGTCTCGGTGGGGGAGGAGGCTGCTGGGCAGGATGAGCCCTGGCTGCACCAAGACGTCTGGAGTGTGGCCCTGCACGCAGAGCCTAGTCTGCAGAAAGCCCACGGGTCTCCCTCCCCTGCTTGCCCCCAGGAACCTCTGCTCCAAGTGTGGTGACAGGGTCCCAGAAGTCCTCCATGAGGGAAGGAGAAGGGACTGTATTAGTTTGCCAGGGCTGCCGTAACAATGTGCGACAGACTGGGCAGCTTAAACAACTGAAATGTGTTCTTTCACAGTTCTGGAGGCTGGAAGTCCAAGATCAAGGTGTCAGTAGGGTTGGTTCCTTCAGTCTTCTCCCTGTGTCTTCACATGGTCTCCCCTTTGTGCTTGTCTGTCCTATTCCTCATCTTATAAAGACACCAGTCAATTGTGAGATGGGAATTGACATATATACACTCTTGAACCTATGTCGAAAATAGATAACTGGTGAGAGCCTACTGTGAACTCTGATCAGTGCTCTGTGGTGACTTAAATGGAAAGGAAGGCAAAAAAAGAGGGGATATATCTATACGTGTAGCTGATTCACTTTACAGTGGAAACTAACACAACATTGTAAAAGCAACTATACTCCAATAAAAATTAATTTAAAAAAAAGAGACACTAGTCGTATTGGGTAGTACTCACCCATATGACCTGTTTAAGCCTTAATTACCTTTTGAAAGGCCCCGTCTCCAACCACGGTCACATTCTGAGGTACTGGGGGTTAGGACCTCAACCTATGAATTTGGAGGGGACACAATTCAGCCCATAACAGGATCTCAGGAGAGAGCCCGTGGGCCTGCACATAGCTGTCACAGGAGGGCAAAAGGGACCTGCAGCAGTGCGTGTGCACTGTCACCAAGGCTGGGTGGAGTGAGGGGTTGGGACCCGGGCCAGTGAGAAGGGCCCAGGTCAGCAGGGGTGACTCTTAGACCAGATAGAATCAGCCCTGTGACCTTAATCATTAAGCTGTGCTCGTTCCAAACAACCTCATCAGTCCCCGTGCTGGGATGAACCACCCAACGGGCATGGGGCTTTGAGGCTAATGTTGGCCCCATGGGTGTCCTTTTAGGGCCCAGCCCGCTGCTAAGCACATTGCAGGCCGTTTGCGCAAACATCTCCTGGTTGTTTGTGAAACACCCTGTGGATGCCCAGGGGCACCACTCATCCTTACGCCATTTGGGGATTTCCAAGCATCCGCTATCAGGAGTTTCATCTGAACCTCAAACATGCCTGGGAGGTCAGCAGGGGGTTCTTGTCCGGGCTTCTGTTTGGATTTACAGAGATTTCCTGGGTACCTCTCTGGGTCAGGCATGAAATGCTTCCAGTTTGGTGGGGAAATGTCAGACCCATGAACAGACCAATTCAATGTGGTGAGAGGTTGGTCCTGGGGCTTTGGGAGCAAGAGACAGAGCACTTCGTCCCAAAGGGGTTTGGGAGGAAGTGACCGCTGAGCTGGCGCTTTTAAAATTTATTGTGAAAAACCAAATTCATAGACATACATGCTTTCAAAAGTGGAACAGTCCTACCCAGTTTACAACAAAATTAGAGCTGCCTTGCTCTACCTGATCCCCACTCTGGTTTTTCCCTCCAGTGTCCATTTTCACCCCACTTAGAAGTTTCTTCTGGCATTTGTTGCCATGTCATTAAATGACATGCTTATCCTACTGTTTCTTGCTTACTCTGGGAGATGAGAGTTTAGGTTTCTGGTATCCTTCTTGCCTCACACCCACTTCCCGCCTTCCCAAAACAGGGAAAGGAATGGAATTCTTATTTGCTGTTTGCCTCATTATGACCTAAGTTCTCATTATTCACACTGAAGCCATGCACACGTCTATGCTTCTGTTTCTGTCTTGACATCTTTTCATTTTCCTTGGAACCAATAATTCCTCTAGTAATGATGAGTTTTCTGTGTCCCAATCTATCACCTGTTTTCCGCCAGAAGTGTAACTCCCCTCTCAGGACGTTCAAGCCCTCCCCAGGCTCTCTCCTTGCTTGGGCCTAGGCTGCTTGCTCCTGCTTCTACATGGCCGTCATGCTGGGCATTCCCCTTGCCTCTCTGCTGCACTGAGTTACCTGGATCTGTCTCTTTCTTGGTTCTGTCCCTTGTTTTGGTAGAGGGCATCATCTCGTCACATTCTGAGGAATGATGCCTAGGAGTAAATTTTTTTTTTTAAGAACTTGCGTGTCTGAATAATGTTCTGTTTTGCATTCATGCTTGTTTGGGCGTAGAATTCTATGTGGGGCAGAATTTTCTGTCTGAATTTGAAGACACAGAGTCTTGCTTCTGGTATTGCTGTTGAGAAGTTTAATACCCTTCTGATTTCTGTTCCTTTGTGTGTGACCTGTTTCTTGTCCCCACTCCCTTTTGGAAGCTTTTGGGATTTTCTTTTTGTCCCTGGTCTCCTGAAATGTCATGACTCTGTGTCCTGGTGGATCTGCTTTCGTGCATTGTTCTAGGCCAGAGCTGTCCATCCACCTTTCTGCGCTGATAAAAACGCTCTCTACCTGTGTTGTTCAATACTGTGGCCTCCAGCTGCTTGAGGCTACTGAGCACTTGAAATCTGGCTGATGTGACCAAGGAACTGCTTGTCTGGTTTTATCTAATTTTAAGTAATTTATATTTAAATTTAATTAGCCATATGTGACTAGGGTCTACCATGTTGGATTGGTCATTGCACTTCAATGACCTTTCAGTATGGAGACTCTTGCCCTTTGGTTCTGGGAAGTTTTCTTGAATTATTTCTTTAAGTTTTAAAAATTATCTGTTCTGAAACCCCTATTGGTCAGATGATGAAACTCCTGCAACGGTTCTTTATTTTTCTTATTTTTTTCTCTCCCATTTTCCATCTTTGTCTCTATTTTTCTTTTGGAGTGAATCATTTAACTTCACTTTCATACCTTTCAATGGGATGCTACATCTTGTGTTATTTTTATTTCTATGAGCGCCTTTTTGCTCTCTGTTCTGATTTCACATCAGCACAGGACTCAGGCCACTGTGACTGTTTTCCAAAGCTCCCTTCCTCCTCCCACATTGCTTCTGTTCCTCTGAGCTCCTTTTTCTGTTCGTTTGGATCTTTCCCTTTAATGCTGGCTAGTCCTTGCCTGTCTGCTTGTGTTTGAGGATGTGTGGGAGTTGTCAATGGTGGGCTTCGGTGTAGAGCTATCTGGCTGGAGAATCCCTGAATATCAGGGTCTGTAGATCCTTTGGGCTGTTCTGCTTCCCAAGAAGGAATTCCCTAGTCTTCTGCCCAGGAGACGGAGGGTGCTGGAAATCTCATGACTCCTTCTGCTTTCAGTAATGCATCCTGACATCCTCTCTGCCAGGTGTCTCCAAGTCCAGAGTACGTCCAGTTCAACATGTGCAGAGAATATCCCCCAGTCTTCTACAGGCTAGGGGAGGTGGCCATAATAAAGTAACACAACCTGGGTGGCTTAAAACAGTAGAAATGTATTGTCTCACCGTTCTGCAGGCCAGAAGCTTGGGGTCAGGTTGTCAGCCGGGTTGGTTCTTCCTGGAGGCTCTGAGGGAGGATCTGCTTGATGCCTCTTCCTAGCTTCTGGTGATTGCTGGAAATCCTTGGTGTCCTTGGCTCGTGGCAGCATCACTTCAGTGTCTGCCTCCATCTTCATATTGCTTCCTTCTCTCTGTGTGTGTCTGTGTGTCTGTTCAATCATTAAATTAGGGCCCACTCTACTCCAGTATAACCTCATCTTACTTACCTAATTACATCTGAAAGTCCTATTTCCAAATAGGGTCATATTCTGAAATTGCTGGTGGACATGAATTTTGGGGGAACATTATTCAACCAAGTACAAGAGGGAAGTCTAATACTTTATTACATAGACTTTAAACAGTCCTCTGTTTTCACCCTCACTTAACACTTCCAGTTACAGAGGTACCTGGTGCATGCAGTTCCTGAGTCTTTCTGGCCTCCAGCGGCGTGGTTCTGTTTACTCCTGGTCTCCCGAGTGCTGTGGGCTCAGCTTCAGTTTTCTCTGCTCTGCCAAGTGAGTGCTTTCATGGCAGATACACAGTGGTCATGGGCATAGACTCTGGGGCCAGACCACCTGGGCTTAAAGCTTGGCTCTGTGGCTGTGTGACCTTGTCCAAGTGACCTAACTCCCCTGTGCCTGTAAAAAGGGGGTGATAATGAGAGAACCTTCTATGTACTGTTATTCTGAGGACTAAGGGGAGAACTTAGGAAGGTGTCTTGCATGAAGAGCTCTTGATGACGCTTGGCTACATCTACTTGTAGGTTCAAACAGTTGGTGGCTGTGGTCTCCTATCTGGTTGTCTTTGTCCCTATGGATTTATGCCTTTTAAGAAAGCTCTTTAGGGACTTCCCTGGTGGCCCAGTGGTGAAGACTCTGCGGGGGCCTGGGTTCGATCACTGGTCAGGGAACTAGATCCCACATGCATGCTGCAACTAAGAGTTTGTGTGCCACAACTAAGGAGCCAGCGAACCACAACTAAGGAGCCTGCGAGCTGCAACTAAGACCTGGTGCAACCCAATAAAAATAAATAAATATTTTTAAAATTATTAAAAAAAGAAAGCTCTTTAGTGCATTTTATGGGGGCTTCAGGCAGCTTCAGAAGTAAATGCTTGTGTTAAACCCACCATGTTTAAGCTTCTGAGAGGAATGTTGAAGAGGCATTCAGGAGGGAATAGGCAGGTGGAGCAGCCTGAGCAAAGGTGGGGAGGTGTGAGGTCGCATGGGCTGTGCAGGGACCTGCAAAAACTCCAGTCCAATGCAGCATAAGGTCTGAGGTGGGGGGTCAGGGACACAGCTGGGGTGTCACCTATCACCTAGATGAGGCACAGGCCGTGTGGGACTGTGGGAGGGGTCAATCGGGGACGCCCTGATTAGATGTGCAAAGGCTGCCCTGTGACAGGTGATCAGACAGGAGGCTGTGGTCATAGTCTAGGTCAGAAATGGTGAGGGTCTGCATGGGGGAGGGGAGTGAGAAGAGAGGAAATTTTTGAAAGATATTGAAACTCTTAAAAATATTGTTAGTTATTCCTTCCTAAAATTTTATTTAAAAAATTCAAATACAGAAAATTTGAACAGAAAGATGGAAAAAATCTTATAGTAAACACCTATCTACCACCTTCTGGACTGAATAATTCGCATTTTGCTTTCTCTGTTTCATCACCCATCTTCCCATCCCTCTATCCATCCATCAGCCCATTTCACTTTCTGACTCAATTCAATGTACGTGCAGAATGAGAATACTTTACCCGTGAACACTGCAGCATGAGTGTCATTAACTAGATGAACCGTGATGACTAAATAAAACTGATCTACTGATACTATCTTTCTTTAAAATTTTGATATTTTGTTCTTCCTAGATTTTTTTGCATTAATATTGATTTTTTTAAATAGTAGGTTAGAATATAATTTGTCTTGATCACAGATTTTTGGCAAATTTCTGCTCAAGTGGAATGCCTTACTTTCCTCGCCCTATTCCCTGCCCTGCCTGGAAGTCCTGACTGAATTTTATAAATACACTGTGTCTGTAAGGAGGGAATGAGCTCTCCTTACTCCTGTTTTTGGTTCCTTTGGGATTTGTTTTTTCTGTGTCAACAATGCACTCACTTTGGGAATTTTTAGAAATAATTTCTGCTCCAGGGTAGGAGGAGGAGAGTGGGAGGGATTTCAACCCAGGGTCTTTGACGTCCTACAGGGGTAGGGAGACCTGAGGCTGGAGGGCCTGCTCAGGGCCCTGAGCTCACACAGCTGGACAGACACCCCCAGCCCCAATTAGAATCCAGGAAATAATGTCCTGAACATTTATGACTCAGTGTCTCCACACACAGCAGGTGGTAAAAGGAGCCATTTAAACACGATCAATAAGAAGGAAAGGGCTTCCCTGGTGGCGCAGTGGTTGGGAGTCCGCCTGCCGATGAAGGGGACACGGGTTCGTGTCCCTGTCCTGGAAGATCCCACATGCCGCGGAGCGGCTGGGCCCGTGAGCCATGGCCGCTGAGCCTGCGCGTCCGGAGCCTGTGCTCCACAACGGGAGGGGCCACAACAGTGAGAGGCCCGCGTACCGCAAAAAAAAAGGCAAGAAACAACAAGTGTTGGCAGTGAAATGGAGAAAGGGGACTCTCCTGCAGTTGGTGGGAATATAAGTTGGTCCAGCCACTATGCAAACTAGGATGGAGGTTCCTCAAAAAACTAAGAGTAGCACTACCATATAACCCAGCAATTCCACTTCTGGACATTTATCCCAAGAATATGAAAACATAAATTTGCACACTGCAGCACTGTTTACAGTAGCCAAGCTATGGAAGCAACCTAAGTGTCCAACAAGGTTCTTGAGTTGCCACCACAGGGCGTTTGGATTTTATCCTGTGGATGATGGGAGTGGTTGGAGAGATTTGAACAACAGAAGAATGTTATAAGTGTAACATTTTAATGGGTTTTAACAGGTTCTGTCTGGTGGCAGAGTAGGGGGTTCTCAGGATGAGGCCAGCGTAGGGTCAAGCAAAACTCATTAGGTGGTTACTGCAAAAATTAGGAGAGACTGCCAGCCCTTCACCCCCTCTTTTGCAAAATAACCTGCGATGTTCATCTTTCCCTTCATCTTACACTTGCTGTTTCATTAATTACCTTCCTCGTGGTCTTCTGAAATTTGCCTCCTGGCCTGTGAGTCCCCTTTCACTCATTGATTTCTTTCTTCTTTCTTTTATAAATTTATTTATTTTATTTTTGGCCGCGTTGGGTCTTCGTTGCTGCACGCAGGCTTTCTCTAGTTGCGTCCAGCAGGGGCTCCTCTTCATGGTGGTGCGCGGGCTTCTCATTGCGGTGGCTTCTCTTGTTATGGAGCAGGGGCTCTAGGTGTGTGGGCTTCAGTAGTTGTGGCACGCAGGCTCAGTAGTTGTGGCTCGCAGGCTCTAGAGGGCAGGCTCACTAGTTGTGGCGCACGGGCTTAGTTGCTCTGTGGCATGTGGGATCTTCCCAGACCAGGGCTTGAACCCACATCCCCTGCACTGGCAGGCGGATTCTTAACCACTGCGCCACCAGGGAAGCCCCACTCATTCATTTCATCATTTTTTACTTCCTGCTTCTTGGAAACCCAAATGATTCTGATTGCTGCATGTCATAACTGTTTGCAACATCCCCTATCTGCTGACACCATGAGTTCAGTGAATACATAAAATTTAGTAGGCAGAAGGGTGTGCTGTCATTTTTGTGGCCAAAATCACCTCTGTAGCATTTGCACAACAGTGGAAGCATGGTGGGAGGAGTGGAAGGAAATATTTATCCCATGTGATAAGCTATAACCTGCCAACTTATTTCAGGAGGCCCTTTGGAGCCCAACCATATATGCCACTGGCACAATTTTGAATCACAAGATGCGGCTCTATTTCCTGGATTCATGATTTAATTGCTCGGGCAAGACCTTTCCCCACCCTGAGCTTCTGTTTCCACATCTGTAAAGTGGGAATTAAATAATCCCAGCACTGCTTATCTCACAGAGATTTCATGAGGATCAATTAAGAGAGACATGAAAGAACTTTATAAACTGTACTTTGCAGTAGAGATGTTAGTGGTTAGTTTATAATGATAAAAATTCTGGGATTGTGGAGAAAGTGAACAGCCAGAGGAAGTCTTTCTCCTCTTCTTCCCTTTTTTGTAAAGTCTATGAAAGTGCTTCTGCTTCTGGGCATAGGGGAGGGGGTGTGTAGCGGGGCTTTCTGCATGGTGAGGTATGTGTGGGTCAGAAAGAGCATAGCCCTGCCTTACCCCACTCCCCACTGACAGGCTTGCTAGGGGGCCTTGCCTTGTCTCTAGGTTGGGTCAGAGCGCTGGGTCACTACCCTCTCAGAGGACCTGGGCTCTAGACCCAGTCGTTCCACTAATTCTTGGGCAAGGAAGGGCCTGGTAAAGTTAAGACCTTGGGTTATAAAACTAGAAGATCTAGGTTTGAATCCCAGCTCTGCTAGTAGTTAGTTATGCGTCCTTGGCTGGTCACTTAAACTTTCTGTGCTGCAGTTTGCTTATTTGTAAAAAAGGGACACATATTTTGTAAGTTTAAGGTGTACAACATGCTGATTTGATACATGTGTATATTGCAAAATGATTACCAAAATAAGGTCAGTTAACATATTCATCACCTCACATAATTACAGTTTTTGTGTGTGTGGTGAGGACATTTAAGATCTACTCTCTTAGTAACCTTCAAGACTATAATACAAAATTGTTAACTCAACTTTGATTACTCAGGACTGAAAAAGCAGATAAGCCATTTACAGTTGATGAGGACACTGTGTTTCTTATATCTATATCATTACTTTAACTGGGTTGTACTGTACTATAATTACCTGTTTATTTGTCTCTATCTTCAACCTGATTATTGTCTGGGTCTTAGTGGTATCCGTACCCTAAGCGCTGAGAACAGAGCTTTGAAAGTACATGCAAAGCCCATTAGTGCACAAATGGGTAGATGAGAGATGTTGGGGTGGGGGGTGATATTCAGGCACACGTCTTCCTTCACAATCTTAGTCTGTCAGACTTTTAAGTTAGGTGTGCCCTGCTGTGGAATGAAGGGGCACGAAGATCATGCCTTCTATTATTTCCCCTTGCAGAGCAAGGCCATTTGCATTGATTAGAACAGGGTACTTGCAGAATTTCAGTCCTAAACGATGACTAGCCTATCGCCTCTGGGATAGATTCCAACGAGCTGGACCAGGCCCTGAGGCGAATAGGGCAGCAGATGGTCCTGTGGGTTTAGTGAGAAAAATCATCGTAGCCCAGTATGTGTTTTGGAGGAAGATGAAGGCATATAGTTTCCACAGTGGTTTTGTTTCCAAGAAGAATAAGAAAGGCTGTGGGTTTAGTTGAGTGAACTAAGTTGTCAGAAGTTATCAGATGACACCCCAGTCATCCCATGTGGGATGTATTTTGTGTTCCTCTCAGTTGGGAACATAGGTGGATCCTACACACAAGACCCTAGTGTCCTCATAACCTGCACCTGGCTTTATTCTTGATGAGGTGAGATAGAGTCCTTGGTTCTGGAGACCCGTGGGGGAGCTCCTGGGCAGGGATAGCTATGGAGGTAGGAGCCAGAATTGTAACCAATTTGCTGTTGTAGTCTTGGGTCTCACTATTTCACATAGTGACCCTCATCGTGAAACAGCAAACATTGAATACTGGCATTTCAGTGCAGAAGACTTGCCAATCTATCTTCATGTTAGCTTACATGTGACATGTTGTGATCAATAGCTGTTGAGAAGCCACCTGCAGTCCCTGAGCCTCAGTTTCTGTATCTATAAACTGGGCATTGTATCATGACCCTACTTAAGAGCGCCCAGAGAAGGTACCGAAAGAGGGCAGAAATGCATAAGAATTTGTGGGACTTTCTATGCTACTTTTCCTCAGGATCATCTTCCAGCTTCCCAGGCCTGTCCTTTGTTGGTACTCAAGCTTGTATCCACTTCTCTCCTTCATGACCTCTCTGTAGGGCTCCATTATCCTAGAGGTTCCAGAGGTATGCTACATACTAACCTTGGTTGTGTGTCTCACTCCCTCCTCTGGGAAGCTGCTCTCAAGGTAGGGGACTGTATGGGCTTCTTGCCCCCAGCCCAGCGCAATACCTGCACCTGACATTCACCCACTTGGCCTTGAATCAATGCGTGGATGAACAGATATATTCAGGCATTGTATTTCCAGTGGCAGCTATGGATTTTAACAGGTGCCTCCTGGAGAAAGTCTGAACCCAAAGTTGACAAGCTATGATGGTAGAAATTTCATGTTGCATGACAAGGTCCCAAGGAAATAAAAAAGGCAGGTGACATAGTTGGGACTTACTATAATTTACCAATGAGACCTCCACCCACTCAGGCCAGTGTTGGGCAACTCTGGGGACTTTCAGGCCAGAGGGATGGAATGTATTGGCAAGAGGTGAGTATCGCTTGCTCCAGAAGGACTGAAAATGAGAAGGATAAAGGGAGAAGGAAGTGCACAAACACAGCTTAAACGTCCTGTGTTCCTATTGAGTTTAAGAACTTTTGAGGTTTTGTTTTTCATATAATTCACAGTTTCTCAGTCAAGGAGATACAGCATTTTGGTCAGAGGGAAGACAATGAACCAGTGTAAATTTCAGACCCTCAGTCCTCTAATTTCTCCCATGAGGAATGGGGTGGGGGCTCACAGATGCCACTGACTTCTACTACAGACCTCCTCCTTAGTAACACCTTGCTACCCCTTAATTATTTTCCATCTAGTCAATGATAAGGAAGCATCTGCTCTGACTGCCCCCCTCCCCCCACTTTGCCCCATAGAAAAACCTCATGTTTTCTTTATGGAGTCTTGTTTGCTGTATGTGCCACATCACCGGTGGATAAGGAGGTTGGAGGTCCACTTGGTCACTGGGCTGCTTTCTCCGCTTCACTCCCTTCACCCTCATTGATTTTGCACTTGTGGCCTTTCCAGAGAGAGGGGGTCATTCTTTCGTTAAGAATCTGTGTAACTGCTGTCCACTGAAGGACCCTCTGAGGGGCGGGACAGGAAGACTGAATGGATACCCCTTGGTGCAGCCATCACCACATGATCCATGTCTTGTCTCTCCTTTGGGGGCCCTCTTGTCAACAGAACCCTGATGGATCATCCTGAACGTGCAGTGATGGTGGCCAAGGCACAGCCAGGCCCTCTTGTTGTATTAACGATACAGGAAGATCATGTGGTCACCAAATAGCCACAGGAAACAGACACACAGGGGCCCAGAGTTCTCATTACTACCAACTCAAGTCCACCAACCTTTCCGATGTCCATGCTGCAGAAAGCATTCTGCAAGGTACCAGGGGCATAAGGGTGACTAATACTCAGACTGTAGCCCAAACTCTCAGTCTCTTAAGGGAAATAGGTGTGGAAACCAACAATGGTTCTGGAGGATAGAAGGACAATAATAGGATTGTGTGTGTGTGTGTGTGTGTGTGTGTGTGTGTGTGTGTGTGTTGGGGGGGGCACGACAGAAGTCATCCAGAAGAGGAAGTGGTTATTCCTATTGTTTAGGGAAGTCTCTAAAACAATGTGCTTTCTGAGCTGGGATTTGAAGGATGAGTAGGTGCCTTATGGGGAAACCAGGATATCTAGGCAGAGGAAACTGCATGGTAAAGATTAGTGGACCTAGCATGTCTGAAGGGTTTCAAGTTTTGGAGTTCAGGCAGTTACAGAGAAAAGGGCAGTTTAGAGGATATTTGTGGCTAGTGGTTTTATTTGAGTTTCTGTAACCTTTGAAATTACTGATAACACTGATTGAGTTGTTATTGAATGGCCACAGAATATGAAGTCAAGGGAGGTCAAACTGGACTGTCCGTGATGCCAACTATCAAGGCAGGGAGGGCTCATGCAGGTGGAGCACAGGTAGCCCTTCTATTGGCTGCAGCTCCAGCTCCACCGCCTTCCCAGGACATTAACATTTCAGCCTCAATGAATCATCCCTGGGTGTGAAAGGAAGCAGGCAGGCAAAGAGTAACACACGCAGCTGAGAAGAAACTCAGGGAGAGAATCACCGAGGAGAGTGGCCATGGACCTGATCCCGAGCTTTTCCGTGGAAACCTGGGTTCTCCTGGCTACCAGCCTGGTACTCCTCTATCTGTGAGTATCTGTGATTCTGATCTCCTCTGTAACCTTGGACTTGGGGTGCTCATCAGGTCCCACTTTCCCTTTACTGTTTTGAGGATCAGTTAGTGGAGGGAAAGTTGCTTAAGCTGTGGGTGCTACAAACACCAAAGGGGTTATTATCGATCTTAACCCAGTTCTGTTGAATGAGTAATCAACAAACACCCCCCCCTACCACCACCCCGCCAAGTTTTTATCTTCTGTAGCTAGGAGGGTTTAGTGACGTTATTTGCTCCTGGGGATGATTGACTACCAGTTTCCATGGACCCAGACTAATCAACCAGAATCCACCAGGGGAAGATTTAAAACAACTGGTCCCTGCGCAGTGGGGTGCTGTCCCCTTCCCAAGCTCTGGGGATCCTGGAGGCATGAAGTAACTTGGGATTTGTCTCATGATCTTCACCTTCTGGGTTCAGTATCTGCTGCAAGAGCCGTGTAGAAGGATTGGCCCCTGTGTCACTCAGGGGGTTCCTGCTTCCTTCCCTCCCTCCCCCGATGTCATTTACACAGGGCACCTTGTCACCCAGGGGCTGGAAATTGATTGCCCTTCACCTCATATCAGCTCTTCCCCCTTTCCTGTGTCCCTCCTATGGCACCTTCTTCCAAGGCTCAATTCCCCCACCCTGTACTATGCAGAACTATCTACCCCCAAATGAGAAATCTTTAGAGGAGAGGACACTTGGCAGAAATCTTGAAATTATATTCATTTCTTTCAGCTTTTCCTCTCGTCTCTGAGAGCTTTAGCATCAGCATAGAAATCTGAGAGTTCATGTAACACGTTGAAAGTTCAGAAAGGGAAATTGATTTGCCCTGGTTGTGAAGGCGAAGGAAGAAACTGGGGTTGGAATAGCCCAAGTCACTCCCATTTTGGAAGTTGGTGCTCACACCTCCAACTTTTCTGGGGGAAGGATCTAAACACCCAGTTGGGCTTGGCCAAAGTGCCTCTGCTGCCTCTTCAAGCACAGTTTCTTTCAGGCAATTTTTGGGTTTATTTTATCACATAAGATTTGATGGATTTGTACAGAATATTTGGAACCTGTAAGACCTTAAAAACTAAGCTTCAAAGAAGAAAAAAGTCTTAAACATTCTGGAACATTTTATGGTTATTCATTCTGTGTTGCACAATGCCTCTTTTGCTGTCTTCGGGGAGGTACCTGAAGTTTGCAAGGCCCACTTTTAGCTAAAAGGGCTTGCAGAGCATGTTGAAGCATTTCTACATAGCACACTTTTCAGCCATACCTTTCTAATTTGCCCCTACAGAGTTAGTTTTGGCGGCCTAGCAACTTCATCACTAAAACCATTGCCAGCAACCTCTTCCCCTCAACCTCTCTTTTCCTCCACTCTGTCAATTCTCAGAAACACCAGACTGAGAAGACCTGCAAGATTTCAAACCCCCCATTTGTGGGATTCCACACAGAACACATGAAGATGAGTTTCACGTACACCAGCTGTAGGAAGCACCAGCCTTAATGGCTTTTTGAGGTAGTTGGCGCACAGAGGCAGTAAACAAACTAATCTGTGATTGAGGATCTTGAAAAAAATGAGTGTGCCTGGTACTGTGTTTAGCAGGTGAGTATCACAGGTTGGAGGACCAGATACCATTTGAGAAAGAACGGTCTGGAAATGGATCCTCTAGTCATTGGTTCACTTATACAGTTATATTCAGGGAACATATGGTCAGTCGCCCTTCTCTGTAGGGCAAATCAAGCAAATTGCCTGACAACAGAGACTTGAGTGTAGCTGAAAGGTGCTCACATTTCTATGATGCCAATGGAAGCCTTGAACACAGTTTGTATTTTATAGAAATTAGGACGCTGTTATTCTCTAAGGCTTGATTATGAAGTTGGACTTAAGAAGAATTAAATCCTAAAATGGGGTCAGGATACAGAGGGAAAGAAAAGCATAAAAATCTCCATGCAAATTGTAAGAACAATGTCACAGTAGGCTCTCAATAACTGTTGTTTTGCAGACGAAGTTAAGCAAAATCTCATTATTGGAACAGAAAAAGAAATTTTCCCTTTCTACCTAGAATGAGAATCTCCAAATCATCTAAGAGTCAAGTTACCAAATAAAGATGAGTGAATTCCCTGGAAGAATTCCAGCCTGAACCTCTCAGGACCACTCCAATTAGAAACATTTATCAAGTATTCACTCTAAGATTGGAACTGTGAAGACTTCAGCTGCCTTTAGCTAATCACCATGACCTTTACTGGGTCTTGTATTGGTGGTGGGCAAGGAGATGATGAGTGAATGTAATGATTGCTTTTGGAGCTGCTGGTATTTTTTATTGCCTACATGCTATCTCCTTAGGTTGACTGTTCCAGTTCTGAGTCAGTGACTGGCCAGCTCCAGCACCACTATTCCACAATTCCTGTGACCTGGTTTCCTCTTTCACTTTACAGATATGGGACTTATTCACATGGACTTTTTAAGAAGCTGGGGATTCCTGGGCCGAGACCTCTGCCTTATTTTGGAAATATTCTGTCCTACCAAAAGGTGTGTGTTGTTTGAGCTCCAGCTTTGCTTCTTATGGTGGCAAATCTCAGCTGAATAATATAGTAAAACTGCCCCTCCTCAGGAGGAAGTTCTGAGGTTTCACACTTTCCAGAAATATCATGGGCCCCACCCAGCACATGGCCAATTTTACAACACACCTCTATTTTTAGCTGTTAGGAGCCTCAGGTTTTGCGGCCTCAGGCAGCCCAGCTCTCTAGCTGATTCAGCACAGAACTTGATTTTCCATCTGGTGAGTATTGTGAAGAGGATTTTCTTTCTGCCAGGTGCAGATTCCCAGGAAGGCACCATCCCCTTAGTATTAGGAGAAAAGCATGAAGAGGGTGCCTGGTCGTGACTTATTAAGCTGCCTACACTACAGTCAGGCTTTCCTGTTGGTAGCATAAGTTCTGGGTAGCATTTTTTTCTTGCTCCTGGATTGCTTGGTAACTTCAGTTTCTAACGCAGCCTGAGTATTCAATGTCGGGTAATTTGCACCTACTTGAATTATCTCAAGAACTACTAATGCCTGCAGTTATTTCTGTGGCTCTACTCCATTTTTGCTATAACCCTGACATCTTCTGTGTTTCGAGGGGTGGAGCAAGAGCTTTTTGCTTTACTTCTGTGCCTCCAAAGAAAGCACCTTATGGATGCATCTGAGCAGTGAGCAGGTGTAACGGAGACAAGATGGTGGTTGTCTAGTTACTTCAGGTATTTAACCACTAAATAAGTTGTGGGGTTTTAAAAAAAAAAAAAAAAAGGCAGAATCGGGCTTCCCTGGTGGCGCAGTGGTTGAGAGTCCGCCTGCCGATGCAGGGGACGCGGGTTTGTGCCCCGGTCTGGGAAGATCCCACATGCCGCGGAGCGGCTGGGCCCGTGAGCCATGGCCACTGAACCTGCGCGTCCGGAGCCTGTGCTCCGCAACGGGAGAGGCCACAACAGTGAGAGGCCCACATACCGAAAAAAAAAAAAGGCAGAATCACATATACAAAATCACTAGAAAGGATATGATTTGACAAAATTATTAAAAATTGAACTGAACTCAATAGAATGTACTAGGTGGCATATGGACTATGAATTCTGGCTGAGCCTTGATATTAATCCAGCTCTGATGCCTTGCCCAGGGCCTGGCCCCTGAAATGAAGGTCATGAGCTACGTCCATGTGTCCAGGGGGCAGAGCCTTGTGTGTAGGCTGCTCTCTGGCTCAGATTTCCTTTCCTGCAGACATAAGCCTTGTTTCTCAGATCCTGATTCTCCCAACTGAGGTCTTCATTGTCTCATTACTGCCTGTGAACTTCATGAACTGTTTTCTCTCTGAAAAAGCAATAATTTATTTTCCACCTTTCCCGGATGAACTCCTTAGTAGATGCACTCCAAGACCCATGTTTCTGAGACCTTCATTTTCATAGGTAAACCATCAAATATCACAGCAGAAACTTAGTAACAGGAAGTTTGTTTTCCTTTAAGCAACAGAGGGAAAATTCAGGGCAAGCGTTTTAATTGGTGTTGTTGTTTGTATTTGTGGTAACTCCCCATCTTTTCTGTGTTGAGCTGGAAAACTAGAAGGTGATCTACTTTGTCATTCATTCACTCATTTATTTTCTCACTCAACACACACCCCTTAGACTTACTTAAATCTGCTGGACTAAAAAGGTCGCTGGTGTCTTTAACTTCCTAATTCTTCTAGAAATCTAGAGAGGGCTCATGAGATAAATGAAAAGGCTGCTTAACAAGGAGATGAAAGTGTGTACAGGCCAATCTAACTTACCCTTCGCTTCAGTTTTCTCACGAAAGACAAGGAGGTACTTAGTATGCACAGGCAAAGGTAAACATTTAGTATCTGTAATAGAGAAAATGCAAGAGTGATTTAAAATTCTCTGTTCCAATATCTCCTTTTTTTCCCTTCATTTCCCCTAAGAAGTCTCTGAATATGAACTTCCTTCCACCTGCCAGTGGAAAATAGTAAGCCTGATTTCATGGGTTTCAAGGTATTTTTGTCCCCAAAAGAGGTAGGGTTCAATACATTTAGTTTAATAATCTAATTTTGTTTCTCTTGCAGGGTATTTGGGAGTTTGACAATGGATGTTTTAAAAAGTATGGAAAAATGTGGGGGTGAGTATTCTGGAAAGTTCCATCGGATAGACTTGTTATGATGTGGCGCCCCCTGTGGTATGGAAGACAATCTCAGTCCAGAGCTTCTTGGGATGAAGTCTATTGTAAAACTTTGGAGTCTTGTTCTTTCTACCAGGGATCCCAGGTGTCAGCCAGGTGTCCAGGTCTACAGTCTGAATTAGGCCTGGAGATTTGCAGGTCATCACTTTTCTCCAGACTTTGAGGCCCAGGGACTCCTAACATCGCTTTCTGTCCAGTGTCACTCTTCCCCCCTTCTCCATTTTTCTTTCCTTAGGTTGCATTTAATTGCATAAAATGCATTATTCCAGAACATTCTAATATGTGCCCATAAATGCATTTTTGACCCTTTTCCACATGATTCACTTAATTAAAAGCCAAGAATCCTTTATTTAAGTTTTGCATTTAATATGTCCTTTTGGAAAAAGAGCTGGGGGTTACAGGTAAAGAAAATAGGAAACAATTTCTGCTCAGCTTTTTACATTCTCTACAAGTATGGAGGTTTTTTTGTTATTGTTTTTCATTTTCAGCCAAGACTTTCCAATGTAATTGTATTCAGTTATTGTTTTATCTACTATTTTTCTCTGACTTTGAAGAGATGTGGGATATATCTAACTCAGAGTGTGTCATGTGGGCTCACAGACTTTAGGAGTTTTGTAGGTTTGATGAGAGCAGCAGGAGAGGTGTAATGTAGTGACTGTTTGCCAAACGGAAATGGGAGAAGGCTCTGCCTCTCTGTACCTCTTCATCTTCTCTGATCAAGTCCTCGGAAACCATAGGGCCCTGCTGAGTTGCCATGGCCCCAAAAGTCAATGTGATTGAGTGGACAGAGCACATAGCCGTGGATCACTACTGGACCAGCTCCAACTGCCCCTCCAACATTTAATACTTGTGAGCTCTGGATAGAGTCACTTTTTCATGGTGGATCCCAGTTCTCTCATTAGAAAATGGTTCTCATGCTTGGGTGTAAATGAGAACCACCTGGGAGAACTTGTTATAAATACAGAACTTTGACCCCACCCATCAGCATACCAAATCAATATGATCTGGGATAGGGCCAAAAATCTGAATTTTAACTGGTAATATAAGAAATACTAAGGCTGGAGTGACATCTGAATATAAAGTGTCACCCCAAACACGATCTCTTCTCCACCCAGGTGTTTTTGAAAAAACATGATGGGAAGAAGGGAATCATCCAAGTAATATGGTCAATCAGATGGAAGAGCAGATTAAGTACCTCTTCAATCCCTTCCGTCACTGCTTCAACACTAAATGCACATGACACCCACTTAAACCCTCTGAGTTTTAGAATTTTTTGGGGGGGGAAATAATGCACTGGTTCTCATCCATTTTTATATGTGATCACAAAACCATCTGAAATTCCTGTGTGAAGTCAGAGGAATAATAGGTAACATGTAGAAAACCTTCCATTGTGTTCTAGCCATCCCAAGCGATTGATAGAGGAAACAAAATGCCGGAAGACAGTGTGATTAACTTAGAGTCAACCTCATGCCAGTGGCCCATTCCCATGAACGGGCATCCTGACAGTCAGGAGATCAGGCCAAATTGGGATGTATCACATCTGAGGAGTTGGCTTTATGTGGTTAGGTGGGTCAAACATAGGCCTGCCCTGCTGCTAATGGCTGTCACCTACACGGAGCCTGAGGCCCACTTGGGACCCATGTCGAAGAATAAATATAAGTAATGAAAAGAACATATTTTAAAAATGAATTATACATGCTCCTCTGAATTTCTTTATTCTCTTTGTCCTTTTGTTTCAAATTTTTCTAACCTTGATGCTACCAAGGATATCTCCTTATTAGTTAATATAATATTTCCTTTTAAAAATTATGAACTAGAAAGCAAATTTTAGAAAATAGAGCAGAGAAAATCTTTCATAATCCCACTCTCACTTGTGGAGTATTCCAAATCTTCTTCCATTTGCAGCCACATTTTACATATTTATGATCAATGTGTCTATAAGTTTCATAGGCCTTTTTCATGCTTTTGATATATCTTCAAAAATGAGTGGGTGGACTCTCCTTAATTAATTAGTTTTTTCATTCTTAAACAATTTACTTGCCTTCAATTATTTACTAAGCTAACTTCCTTTTTGATAATGAAATATTTTAAACCTATAAAAGTTGTGGAGAATGGCATAGGAAATAACCCATGTAAACAACACCTAGACTTAACAAATGTTCTAATGTTATTTCTAACCATGATCTCTAGGAGTAAGGATTATGTAATGTCAGGATGAGAGTCTGGACTTAAGCTGTGAGTCCAGCTGCAGAAACCAGATCATTAAATTTAATCACATCTCTTTTCCCTACACAGGTGTTATGAAGGTCAACAGCCTCTGTTGGTTGTCACAGATCCAGACATAATCAAAACAGTGCTAGTGAAAGAATGTTATTCTGTCTTCACAAACCGGAGGGTAAGCATCCATTTTTTAAGTTTAAATATTATTTATTTATTAAATATTTATTCTGTAATAATTAATTCACAGGATATTGTCAAAAAAGAAAAATACAGGAAGGTGCTGTGAAGGAAACCCTTCATCCTGTTTCCCCCAAAGGTTAATACCTTGCATAATTATAGTACAGTATCAAAGTAGGAAATTGACATTGATACTATCCACATAGCTTATTCAGATTTTATCAGTTTTATGTGCATTCATTTGCTGTGAGTGCGTGTGTGTTACTCTATGAACATTTATCATAGATGTAGATTTGTGTAACTACCACCACAATCAATGTATAGAAATGTTACTTCCCCATCAATCTCCCTCTAACCATTCTTTTATAGTCACAGTGAGTAGCTTGTCATTTCCTCTTATCAGGGTCTTAGTAGAGCAATTTTTTTTGTATTTTTATAGTTTATTATTTTATCCATACTAAAACGCTTCGTGAAATCACTGTTTCTTTTTAACATCTTTATTGGAGTATAATTGCTTTACAATGGTGTGTTAGTTTCTGCTTTATAACAAAGTGAATCAGTTATACATATACATATGTCCCCATATCTCTTCCCTCTTGCATCTCCCTCCCTCCCACTCTTCCTATCCCACCCCTCTAGGTGCTCACAAAGCACCGAGCTGATCTCCCTGTGCTATGTGGCTGCTTCCCACTAGGTATCTATTTTACGTTTGGTAGTGTATATATGTCCATGCCACTCTCTCACTTTGTCCCAGCTTACCCTTCCCCCTCCCTGTATCCTCAAGTCCATTCTGTAGTAAGTCTGCATCTTTATTCCCATCTTGCCCCTAGGTTCTTCACGACCATTTTTTTTTTTTAGATTCCATATATATGTGTTAGCATACAGTATTTGTTTTTCTCTTTCTGACTTACTTCACTCTGTATGACAGTCTCTAGGTCCATCCACCTCACTACAAATAACTCAGTTTTGTTCCTTTTTATGGCTGAGTAATATTCCATTGTATATATGTGCCACATCTTCTTTATCCATTCATCTGTCGATGGACGGTTTGGTTGCTTCCATGTCCTGGCTATTGTAAAAAGAGCTGCAATGAACATTTTGGTACATGACTCTTTTTGAATTATGGTTTTCTCAGGGTATATGCCCATTAGTGGGATTGCTGGGTTGTATGGGAGTTCTATTTTTAGTTTTTAAGGAACCTCCATACTGCTCTCCATAGTGGCTGTATCAATTTACATTCCCACCAACACTGCAAGAAGGTTCCCTTTTCTCCATACCCTCTCCAGCATTTATTGTTTGTAGATTTTTTGATGACGGCCATTCTGACCGGTGTGAGATGATATCTCATTGTAGTTTTGATTTGCATTTCTCTAATGATTAACGATGTTGAGCATTCTTTCATGTGTTTGTTGACAAGCTGTATATCTTCTTTGGAGAAATGTCTGTTTAGGTCTTCTGCCCATTTTTGGATTGGGTTGTTTGTTTTTTTAATGTTGAGCTGCATGAGCTGCTTGTAAATTTTGGAGATTAATCCTTTGTCAGTTGCTTCATTTGCAAATATTTTCTCCCATTCTGAGGGTTGTCTTTTCGTCTTGTTTCTGGTTTCCTTTGCTGTGCAAAAGCTTTGAAGTTTCATGAGGTCCCATTTGTTTATTTTTGTTTTTATTTCCATTTCTCTAGGAGGTGGGTCAAAAAGGATCTTGCTGTGATTGATGTCATAGAGTATTCTGCCCATGTTTTCCTCTAAGAGTTTGATGGTGTCTGGCCTTACATTTAGCTCTTTAATCCATTTTGAGTTTATTTTTGTGTATGGTGTTAGGGAGTGTTCTAATTTCATTCTTTTACACGTAGCTGTCCAGTTTTCCCAGCACCACTTATTGAAGAGACTGTCTTTTCTCCCTTGTATATCCTTGCCTCCTTTGTCATAGATTAGTTGACCATAGGTGCATGGATTTATCTCTGGGCTTTCTATCTTGTTCCATTTGTCTATGTTTCTGTTTTTGTGCCAGTACCATATTGTCTTGATTACTGTAGCTTTTGTAGTATAGTCTGAAGTCAGGGAGTCTGATTCCTCCAGCTCCATTTTTTTCCCCTCAAGACTCTTTTGGCTATTTGGGGTCTTTTGTGTCTCCATACAAATTAAGATTATTTTGTTCTAGTTCCATTAAAAATGCCATTGATAATTTGATAGGGATTGCATTGAATAGATTGCTTTGGGTAGTATAGTCATTTTCACAATATTGATTCTTCCAATCCAAGAACATGGTATATCTCTCCATCTGTTGGTATCATCTTTAATATCTTTCATCAGTGTCTTACAGTTTTCTACATACAGGTCTTTTGTCTCCCTAGGTAGGTTTATTCCTAGGTATTTTATTCTTTTTGTAGCAATGGTAAATGGGAGTGTTTCCTTAATTTCTCTTTCAGAGTTTTCATCATTAGTGTATAGGAATGCAAGAGATTTCTGTGCATTAATTTTGTATCCTGCAACTTTACCAAATTCATTGATTAGCTCTAGTAGTTTTCTGGTGGCATCTTTAGTATAGTATCATGTCATCTATGTATAGTATCATGTCATCTGCAAATAGTGACAGTTTTACTTCTTCTTTTCCAGTTTGTATTCCTCTTATATCTTTTTCTTCTCTGATTGCCGTGGCTAGGACTTCCAAAACTATGTTGAATAATAGCGCTGAGAGTGGACATCCTTGTCTTGTTCCTGATCTTAGAGGAAATGCTTTCAGTTTTTCACCATTGAGAATGATGTTTGCTGTGGGTTTGTCATATATGGCCTTTGTTATGTTGAGGTAGGTTCCCTCTATGCCAACTTTCTGGAGAGTTTTTATCATAAATGGGTGTTGAATTTTGTCAAAAGCTTTTTCTGCATCTATTGAGATGATCATATGGTTTTTATCCTTCAATTTGTTAATATGGTGTATCACATTGATTGATTTGCATATACTGAAGAATCCTTGCATCCCTGGAATAAACCCCACTTGATCATGGTGTATGACCCTTTTAATATGTTGTTGGATTCTGTTTGCTAGTATTTTGTGGAGGATTTTTGCATCTGTATTCATCAGTAATATTGGTCTGTAATTTTCTTTTTTTGTAGTATCTTTGTTTGGTTTTGGTGTGAGGGTGATGGTGGCCTCATAGAATGAGTTTGGGAGCATTCCTTCCTCTGCAATTTTTTGGAAGAGTTTGAGAAGGATGGGTGTTAGCTCTTCTCTAAATGTTTGATAGAATTCACCTAAGAAGCCATCTGGTCCTGGACTTTTGTTTGTTGGAAGGTTTTTTTGTTTGTTTGTGGTATGTGGGCCTCTCACTGTTGTGGCCTCTCCTGTTGCGGAGCACAGTCTCCGGACACGCAGGCTCAGAGGCCATGGCTCACGGGCCCCGCCGCTCCGCGGCATGTGGGATCCTCCCAGACCGGGCCACGAACCCGTGTCCCCTGCATTGGCAGGCAGACTCTCAACCACTGCGCCACCAGGGAAGCCCTGT